GCAGGTTGGGATCTGAGCTGACAGACAGATCCAGATTTTAGTTGTCAAGTCCGCCGTTTTGGCCAGAAAAAAACAAGTGTATTTTAACCTTCTTCCCCAATTCTCCCATATTATCAGTCTCCCTTAAAAGTCCTCTAATATTGTACTTTAAAACTATATTTAAAATAACAATTTGCCTCTACAAATGGAACTGTCACCAGCATCACAAGTGAAAATATGTTCACAAGTGTTTATTGTAATCTTTATTGTAATAGGAAAGCTCAACTACTGAAGTTATTCTTCTAATAGTAGCAGCTTTTTTGCTCTCAGATATTTGATCACTGAGTGTTTTGAATTTTCTTACATATGTATTATGTTTCTCAAAGGGATCCACTAGTGACCAAAGCAGTGTGACATCATGGCAGAGGCAGAGCCTGGTGAGTTAAGCCTCTTTCTCTATTGGTCTGACTGCCATTGGTGACTGTTTATAAATGATAAAAACCCTCTATTATGACTTTTCTTCTAACTAGATCATCACTGTAACTTAGTAATGAGATCAAAATATTCAAAGGTATTCATATGAAAGGAAACCATGCAGAAACATTTGCTTTGGTTGCTAGATTCACAGTAATTAAATGAAACAACTACAGAGATTTTTAGAAAGCTAAGCTTGTCATATCTTAATCGGTGATACTGAATTATAATTTAATAATTATAATGAATGACTTGTATTTTTCCGACTGTACTGGCAGATAATCCGAACCCATTGAGGAGTTCTGGGAGCTTTGAATTCACTCGTCCAAATTGTAAGTACACCTGAACTGAATCCTGAGAGAACAAAGGTAGCTCTATTCAAAATGTTGGATTGTTTGTGTGTTTGTGGGCCCAAAAAGTCTGAATAACCAGATTTCCAAGGTTTTTTATAAATTTGATATAGGCAAGAAATCATGTTTGGTCTTGATGCATCATTGGCTCTTTGCTACCCACAATTTAACATCAATTCCTCATGAAGTCTTCAAGTGTTTACTGTCTATAAGAAATGGATCCAAATACTTCTCTTTGTAGCAAGAGTTTATCTGGAGCTGCTTGCCCATAAACCGTCTATATATATAAACAGCTAAAGTCTTTGTTATGTTGTTAACACTTATCATATAATCTGGCGAAGAAGGACAAAAGACGTTGGATTCTTCTTACTTGCGAGGAGTGCCGAGAGATGTTCTTAGTTACAATCTTCCACCGCTCTGAAGCTCTTTTGCTGTCTAATGTCAGTTATTACACAGAGTATTAAATAGGTATTTATATATATTTTTTTCAGAGTTATCATCATGTGAACAATCGTATTGATGTGCAATTTTAATTGGATTAGTCATTAATGGAAATTCCGCAATTACAAAACTTAGTGTAGGAGCCTAAATGCAGTTTATTTGAGTTAGAATATATATTTTTTTTATTTAAAAATATGCAAATTCATAAGTAAGATAAATATGGTTTTTGATTTAATGATTCAAAGGGATTTAAAAGGATTAAAAAAATGCTTTTTTCATATGTTCAGTTCATTGATATTGTGAGTAAGATATGACTTTTATTGTGACATTAAAAGACCCACGAAGGGGAGTGGTTTATCTTCATGCCAGGTGAGGAATGCAGGTGAGGAATGCAGTGGGAATCAGAAGGAGATTGGAGCTCAATACTTTTTTGACCTCACCCTTCCCAAGCTCTGTTGGACTTTAAAGGACTTAACTTAGTGGATATATTTTATGTTTTCTGCAATGTTGCGTTCATTTTTCAAGTCAAGAATTGGACTCGTGGATTTATTTACAGAGTGTTTGGGATACAAGGGAGTCTGACGAGCGTCAAGCTAAAGCTTCATTAAGGACAGTAAGAACCTACACTTAGCATTTGGCAGATATTAACAGAATGCAGGTTTTGTAATTTTATTCGTAACAGAAACACAGCTTCTGTATGATTCTGTGCTTCGTTTAGGAGAAGGCACTACTTTCATGTCATGCAATTTCACGTAACAAATATCATGGCCATCTGTTATGAAATGTCATTCATCTGTACCAGGAATGTGACCCATGTGTTTTTCTTAGTCCTGGTGTTTATCTCTCTTTCATTTTACCTACAAACCAGTTGGCAAGGACATTTCAAGGGATAGATGACAATTTTAGTCCTACAGGTGATTGTATGTGAAATAGAAAATCTTCTCCAGTATAGGGATGTAGGAACACATTACCTCTAATCAAAGCAGTGCACTTAGCCTGGCTATAACAAGGGAAATTAGCACCTAATAGTTAAGAATAGAAGTGATGTAAAAGCAGACAACAGTCCAATGACTGATCCGAATATGTTCACCCAGAAAGGATACTTAACCCAAGGTAGCAGTTTGTTCAAGGTCACCATATTAACTGTTATCCAAATAGTGTGTGCAGTTAGGAAGGAGGTAAGGCTAGGAAGCTGTACGCAAACACAGGGATTATTTTAAACAAACATTTCTTTGGGTAATTAGGTTGGTATTGGGTCTAACGTAATGTTACTTTAGATTAAGCTATATCTGCTACCTCAGAAAGCACAAATAGAAGTCAACAGTTGAAACACAGCTCAATTCAATTCAGTTTATTTCTATAGCGCTAATTCACAACACATGCAGCAGACACACAACACAGCAGAGATACAAGAAGCAACTGTAACAGGTGGCCCCGTCCAGGAAACACACAGCCAGAAAGATGAGCTCCGAGCCAGCTCCCATGTTAGAGGATAAAGAAAGCAAATCCAGTTAGTCACAGTAAGAGAAACAGGACTACACTGGAAAACAGGCCAGTCTCCAATATCTATAAACACAGGTGTTTTATATATTCCTCCAATGGTGCCTCACTTGATGAGGATTAAGCAATCATACTCAGAGGGATGCAGATGATTAAGGCTGCACAAAAAAAGTATTTGTCCAACTTGATAATACTTTTAATTAGAATTATAATTGAATAAGAATTTCTGTAGAATCAGAGAAAGAAAATTGCAGGCAGCTTTTCTCTGAGGCTGCCTTTGGTTGTGGATTACACAGAAAACACACATTTAACTTTTGGATCCAAGTTAGAAGAAGGTTGTTTGAATTGCCAGAAAGATGGCACTCCCAAAATTCCATTTTCAATGGTCATGGTCATAAGAGATGTAACTGCACCTGGTAAAAGGTGTTTGGTTTGTGGGTCTCCGTCAGTGATGGGCACGTTACTTTTAAAAACTAATTAGTTATAGTTACTAGTTACTTCTGTCAAAAAGTAACTGGGTTACTAACTGAGTTACTCTGCAATAAAAGTAACTAGTTACTTGTAAAAGTAACTATTGTGTTAGTTTTGCGTTTCTCGCCCCCGCAACCCTCACCACCCGGCCTCACCTTCTCACCGTGTGTTTCAAAAGACAGCTGAATAGAGTGGACGACAAAGACAAGTACCTGCAGAGAGTTTTGCATTTATTGCATCTCAACATAAATGACATCAGGGAGAAACGCTATCTGACGGGGTTTATAGGCCCGTCAGATAGCCTTCCTGCCTGATGTCATTTACTTTGAGTCCCCTCTTCTTAACATGAGGGGAATGGTATCTGATGCGGTGTAAATATCATCAGGCTGCATTACCTCTACTCATGGGTGTGGAGTTTTTTAACAGGGCATTCTGATCTGTTGAGACTATGAAATTAATAACTGGGGATGTCTAATTCTGAAATCCTGGGTGTTTGGGTTGTTAAAGATACTGCAACATCCATCCATCCATCCATCCATCCATCCATCCATCCATCCATCCATCCATCCATCCATCCATCCATCCATCCATCCATCCATCCATCC